AGTGGATACAATCGAAGAGAATGAGAAGAAACATAAACGTGAAATTGATCTGTGCAAAGTAGCTGATGTTGTTGTCGCAGTTGGATCACGGCTACAACAGAAATACAGCAATTGTCTTCCACATGTTAAGGTGGAGATCATCACTCCTGGGATTTTTGAAAAGTTTTCAAATGAGTCATCACAGCTGGTCAAAGACAGATTACATGTGGTAAAGAAGAAGTTCAATGTCTTTATGTTTGGACGGGCTAGCTTTGAAGATCTTACCCTCAAAGGTTATGACATTGTTGCAGATGCCATAGGATCCCTTGGCAAAATGTTTGAGCTGACATTTGTTGGCTCATCTCCTGGTGAACACACAAAAATAAGACAATGGTTTCTTGACAACACAAGCATAAGCCTTAACCAAATAACAGTCCGTGGTTATTGCACTGAGCAAGATGAACTTAAGATGATGTACTATGCATCAGACATCATTGTCCTCCCTTCACGCACTGAATGGTTTGGGTTGGTTGCCCTGGAAGCAATTTCTGCTAGTATTCCTGTTCTTGTTGCTGGTGAAACTGGAATAGCTGAAGCTTTACTTGAAGTAGAAGGTGGAAAGTCTGTCATCATTGAATCAGATGACCCTGAAGAGTGGGCTCAAAGGATCCAACAACTGTCCAGGCAAAGTCCAGAAGAGAGAGAAAACAATGCCAAGCTACTCAGAGACAACTACAGTAAAACTTACCCCTGGAGCAATGAATGTCAGAGATTCAACAGGATGATCCAGGGTTTAGTAGAAAGCTTAAATGGTATGTTTACTTACTTAAAGCCTCCCAGTTCCACCATGATCATGACTAAAATACCACACAAGTACATACAAGTAACATATGAGTATATAAGAGTACATACGAGTATATACAAGTACATACGAGTACATAGGAGTGCATACAAGTAACATGCTAAGCCTTGGAGAATGTATGTATGTGGCACAGGCCCATATGTGTGGTATGCACACATGTGTAACACTTGCGCACCCTCGTGTGTGTGCGTAAAACATACCCCGTGCACATGTAAAAATGAAATATAAAGATAAAAATGGTACATTTCATGTTTACTACCCTCCTGCTATCTTATGTTGCTCCAATGTATTCGTATATAACCTGTTTATTACCACATGTGTCTGTATGTACTCGTATGTTACTCATATGTAGTCGTATGTTCTCGTATGTTACTTATATTTACTCGTATGTTACTCGTATGTACTCGTGTGGTGTTTTAGTCATGATCGTTCCACCATTGCTTTTTGTAGGTACATGTACATGTAGCTACACAGCAACATGTTAATCACAGCAGTGTAAAATGTCTGGCTTTCTAAGGTTTTTCGCATAACAGCCACATGCTCAAGGTTTGATGAACCTTTAAGTCAAGGTTTTGAAAATTCCACACCATGGCAGGAGTTTTTATCATATTTATTCAATATTTATTTATTCAATATTTATTTATTTATTTATTTACTCAAAATTTAATGGCCAGTTACAACATAAATAAATAGGAATGAAGTAAAAAGTAAACATAAAAAATAAAAACAAAGCCATATGGATAATCCATTGGGTTGGCGCATTAGTGAGTGCACTCGCCTCCCACCAATGTGGCCCTGTTCATTTCAGGCCCGGTGTCATATGGGTTGAGTTTCTTGTTTGTTCTTCCCTTGCTCCAAGGGTTTTCTTCCGGGTTCTCCAGACGTGAACACGGACACCAATATTAAGCCATTTTGTTGCACAAAGCCTGTATTAAGTGGACACTTCAAGGGCTGTTTATCTTTAATAGTGGTCTCAGACTCCTTTAACATTGTTCAGTGATGTTGTTTTAAAGCTATTTATTAGGAGAATATTCAGCTTAACTCCAGAATACCCAGCCACTTATTAGCATCTCATTGAATAAGAATAGCAACTATTGTTATATACCTCATTCTTCAAAGCACACCGGCACATGTAAATAAAGTGGCTGGGTATTCTGAAGTTGCTCTGAATATTCTAGACTGATGCATTGACTGACTGGACATTGTTTTATGAGCAGTCTTTGGTCCATATACTCTGTCCTCTTTATGGCCCCAGTTTTACGAATTTCTGTACACTATACTGCATTTTTATGGACTTAGTACTTACAGTTAGAAAATACTGATTGCAAATTTTCAATACCCTGCAATCAGGCAGGGGCCTTTTGTTAGTTCAATAGGCGAGGAAAAAAGAAGACAGTGTAGAGGGAAAATCCGGGTTAAGGTGGCTGAACACAGTTTTTGATACCTGTGTTTCATTCACCATTTCCTCTAAAACCCTTGATCCTTCGTTCGCCAAAAATGGCAACAAGCAAGTTAACAACACAAACTTTGGTTTTTTGATGGTTAAGTTGACATATGTGCCATTGCCATGGCAAAATGAATAAATATAAACAGGCCTTTAAAATCAGTTTTGTTTATTTGTCGAAAATCTAGTCATTAGATTTGCTTTATAATTTGCATGCAAGAAGCTTGTAACAATTCTCACAAGTTAACACCATTTTGCTAATAATTTAACAGAGAGATCTTTAATTATCCGTTGTTGAAGGTTCACTGGAATATCTAGAATTTCCTTTGTTAAAGTTCAATTATTTTCAATACTCTAGTTGCTTATTTCCTAAAGTATTTTCGTGCCAAATTTCGTGAAATTCTAATGAGTGGTTCTCAAGGAATAGGCGTATTTCCGAGAGTGCAATTTTTCATTCAATCGCAATTTTTTGACTTACTATGCATGCGCTGCATTTAACTGGGTTCTTTTGGTAACAAAGA